TTAAAGTGGCCCTGGGGTGGCTCAAACAACCGTGAAGATGGGACAAAGTGGCCCTGGGGACAGGCTGAGTGGCCTTGGGGACAGCTTACATGGCCTTGGGATGGGTGGTGGTGGACCCAGAATGGCTTAGGTGGCCCAAATGTCCCCAAGGATGGGTTAAAGTGGCCCTGGGGTGGCTCAAACAACCGTGAAGATGGGACAAAGTGGCCCTGGGGACAGGCTGAGTGGCCTTGGGGACAGCTTACATGGCCTTGGGATGGGTGGTGGTGGACCCAGAATGGCTTAGGTGGCCCAAATGTCCCCAAGGATGGGTTAAAGTGGCCCTGGGGTGGCTCAAACAACCGTGAAGATGGGACAAAGTGGCCCTGGGGACAGGCTGAGTGGCCTTGGGGACAGCTTACATGGCCTTGGGATGGGTGGTGGTGGACCCAGAATGGCTTAGGTGGCCCAAATGTCCCCAAGGATGGGTTAAAGTGGCCCTGGGGTGGCTCAAACAACCGTGAAGATGGGACAAAGTGGCCCTGGGGACAGGCTGAGTGGCCTTGGGGACAGCTTACATGGCCTTGGGATGGGTGGTGGTGGACCCAGAATGGCTTAGGTGGCCCAAATGTCCCCAAGGATGGGTTAAAGTGGCCCTGGGGTGGCTCAAACAACCGTGAAGATGGGACAAAGTGGCCCTGGGGACAGGCTGAGTGGCCTTGGGGACAGCTTACATGGCCTTGGGATGGGTGGTGGTGGACCCAGAATGGCTTAGGTGGCCCAAATGTCCCCAAGGATGGGTTAAAGTGGCCCTGGGGTGGCTCAAACAACCGTGAAGATGGGACAAAGTGGCCCTGGGGACAGGCTGAGTGGCCTTGGGGACAGCTTACATGGCCTTGGGATGGGTGGTGGTGGACCCAGAATGGCTTAGGTGGCCCAAATGTCCCCAAGGATGGGTTAAAGTGGCCCTGGGGTGGCTCAAACAACCGTGAAGATGGGACAAAGTGGCCCTGGGGACAGGCTGAGTGGCCTTGGGGACAGCTTACATGGCCTTGGGATGGGTGGTGGTGGACCCAGAATGGCTTAGGTGGCCCAAATGTCCCCAAGGATGGGTTAAAGTGGCCCTGGGGTGGCTCAAACAACCGTGAAGATGGGACAAAGTGGCCCTGGGGACAGGCTGAGTGGCCTTGGGGACAGCTTACATGGCCTTGGGATGGGTGGTGGTGGACCCAGAATGGCTTAGGTGGCCCAAATGTCCCCAAGGATGGGTTAAAGTGGCCCTGGGGTGGCTCAAACAACCGTGAAGATGGGACAAAGTGGCCCTGGGGACAGGCTGAGTGGCCTTGGGGACAGCTTACATGGCCTTGGGATGGGTGGTGGTGGACCCAGAATGGCTTAGGTGGCCCAAATGTCCCCAAGGATGGGTTAAAGTGGCCCTGGGGTGGCTCAAACAACCGTGAAGATGGGACAAAGTGGCCCTGGGGACAGGCTGAGTGGCCTTGGGGACAGCTTACATGGCCTTGGGATGGGTGGTGGTGGACCCAGAATGGCTTAGGTGGCCCAAATGTCCCCAAGGATGGGTTAAAGTGGCCCTGGGGTGGCTCAAACAACCGTGAAGATGGGACAAAGTGGCCCTGGGGACAGGCTGAGTGGCCTTGGGGACAGCTTACATGGCCTTGGGATGGGTGGTGGTGGACCCAGAATGGCTTAGGTGGCCCAAATGTCCCCAAGGATGGGTTAAAGTGGCCCTGGGGTGGCTCAAACAACCGTGAAGATGGGACAAAGTGGCCCTGGGGACAGGCTGAGTGGCCTTGGGGACAGCTTACATGGCCTTGGGATGGGTGGTGGTGGACCCAGAATGGCTTAGGTGGCCCAAATGTCCCCAAGGATGGGTTAAAGTGGCCCTGGGGTGGCTCAAACAACCGTGAAGATGGGACAAAGTGGCCCTGGGGACAGGCTGAGTGGCCTTGGGGACAGCTTACATGGCCTTGGGATGGGTGGTGGTGGACCCAGAATGGCTTAGGTGGCCCAAATGTCCCCAAGGATGGGTTAAAGTGGCCCTGGGGTGGCTCAAACAACCGTGAAGATGGGACAAAGTGGCCCTGGGGACAGGCTGAGTGGCCTTGGGGACAGCTTACATGGCCTTGGGATGGGTGGTGGTGGACCCAGAATGGCTTAGGTGGCCCAAATGTCCCCAAGGATGGGTTAAAGTGGCCCTGGGGTGGCTCAAACAACCGTGAAGATGGGACAAAGTGGCCCTGGGGACAGGCTGAGTGGCCTTGGGGACAGCTTACATGGCCTTGGGATGGGTGGTGGTGGACCCAGAATGGCTTAGGTGGCCCAAATGTCCCCAAGGATGGGTTAAAGTGGCCCTGGGGTGGCTCAAACAACCGTGAAGATGGGACAAAGTGGCCCTGGGGACAGGCTGAGTGGCCTTGGGGACAGCTTACATGGCCTTGGGATGGGTGGTGGTGGACCCAGAATGGCTTAGGTGGCCCAAATGTCCCCAAGGATGGGTTAAAGTGGCCCTGGGGTGGCTCAAACAACCGTGAAGATGGGACAAAGTGGCCCTGGGGACAGGCTGAGTGGCCTTGGGGACAGCTTACATGGCCTTGGGATGGGTGGTGGTGGACCCAGAATGGCTTAGGTGGCCCAAATGTCCCCAAGGATGGGTTAAAGTGGCCCTGGGGTGGCTCAAACAACCGTGAAGATGGGACAAAGTGGCCCTGGGGACAGGCTGAGTGGCCTTGGGGACAGCTTACATGGCCTTGGGATGGGTGGTGGTGGACCCAGAATGGCTTAGGTGGCCCAAATGTCCCCAAGGATGGGTTAAAGTGGCCCTGGGGTGGCTCAAACAACCGTGAAGATGGGACAAAGTGGCCCTGGGGACAGGCTGAGTGGCCTTGGGGACAGCTTACATGGCCTTGGGATGGGTGGTGGTGGACCCAGAATGGCTTAGGTGGCCCAAATGTCCCCAAGGATGGGTTAAAGTGGCCCTGGGGTGGCTCAAACAACCGTGAAGATGGGACAAAGTGGCCCTGGGGACAGGCTGAGTGGCCTTGGGGACAGCTTACATGGCCTTGGGATGGGTGGTGGTGGACCCAGAATGGCTTAGGTGGCCCAAATGTCCCCAAGGATGGGTTAAAGTGGCCCTGGGGTGGCTCAAACAACCGTGAAGATGGGACAAAGTGGCCCTGGGGACAGGCTGAGTGGCCTTGGGGACAGCTTACATGGCCTTGGGATGGGTGGTGGTGGACCCAGAATGGCTTAGGTGGCCCAAATGTCCCCAAGGATGGGTTAAAGTGGCCCTGGGGTGGCTCAAACAACCGTGAAGATGGGACAAAGTGGCCCTGGGGACAGGCTGAGTGGCCTTGGGGACAGCTTACATGGCCTTGGGATGGGTGGTGGTGGACCCAGAATGGCTTAGGTGGCCCAAATGTCCCCAAGGATGGGTTAAAGTGGCCCTGGGGTGGCTCAAACAACCGTGAAGATGGGACAAAGTGGCCCTGGGGACAGGCTGAGTGGCCTTGGGGACAGCTTACATGGCCTTGGGATGGGTGGTGGTGGACCCAGAATGGCTTAGGTGGCCCAAATGTCCCCAAGGATGGGTTAAAGTGGCCCTGGGGTGGCTCAAACAACCGTGAAGATGGGACAAAGTGGCCCTGGGGACAGGCTGAGTGGCCTTGGGGACAGCTTACATGGCCTTGGGATGGGTGGTGGTGGACCCAGAATGGCTTAGGTGGCCCAAATGTCCCCAAGGATGGGTTAAAGTGGCCCTGGGGTGGCTCAAACAACCGTGAAGATGGGACAAAGTGGCCCTGGGGACAGGCTGAGTGGCCTTGGGGACAGCTTACATGGCCTTGGGATGGGTGGTGGTGGACCCAGAATGGCTTAGGTGGCCCAAATGTCCCCAAGGATGGGTTAAAGTGGCCCTGGGGTGGCTCAAACAACCGTGAAGATGGGACAAAGTGGCCCTGGGGACAGGCTGAGTGGCCTTGGGGACAGCTTAGATGGCCTTGGGATGGGTGGTGGTGGACCCAGAATGGCTTAGGTGGCCCAAATGTCCCCAAGGATGGGTTAAAGTGGCCCTGGGGTGGCTCAAACAACCGTGAAGATGGGACAAAGTGGCCCTGGGGACAGGCTGAGTGGCCTTGGGGACAGCTTACATGGCCTTGGGATGGGTGGTGGTGGCCCCAGGGTGGCGAAGGTGGCCCCGGAGGTGGCTCAAATGGCCCCAGGGATGGGCTCAATGTCCCCAAGGATGGGGGGAAGTGGCCCTGGGATGGCTTCTGTGGCCCTGGGGACAGGCTGAGTGACCTTGGGGACAGCTTAAATGGCCCTGGGATGGGGTGTGGTGGCTTAGGTGGCCCCAGGGATGGCTCAAATGGCCCCAGGGATGGGCTAAAAGTCCCCAAGGATGGGTGACAGTGGCCCTGGGATGGCCAAACTGCTCTGTGAGAGGTCAAGTGGCCCCAGGATGGCTCAAGTGGCTCTTGGGGACACCTTCAGTGCCCCCTGGGAAGGGCAGAAGTGGTCCCATGATGGCATCAATGGCCTCAGAGATGGGCTAAGCTGCCCCAGGAGGTCCCAGCTGGCCTTGGAGATGGCTCAGAAGGGGTTGGGGACAGGCTAAATGGTACCCAGGACGGGCTAAGTGGCCCTGGGTACAGCTTCAGTGGCCCTGGGATGGGTCAAAGCGATCTCAGGATGGCTCAGGTGGCCCCAGGGATAAGCAAAGTTGTCCCAGGACGGCCCAGTTGGGCCCAGGGCCGGGCTAAGCCATCCCAGGATGGCTCAAGTGACCCTGGGGATGGGTGAAGTGGCTCCAGGGAGAGGCTCAGCCATTCAGAGATGGCTCAAGTGGCCCCAGGAACGGGCTACGAAGCCTCGGGATGGCTCCAAGTGACCCCGGGGATGGGTCAAAGGGACCCTGGGAAGGCTCAGATGGCTCTGAGGATGGACCAAGATGGCTCCAGCATGGCTTAGATGGCCTCATGGCGCCAACACTTGACCTGTCTCACCTTGATCTCAATCTGCTCCTCCATCTCTTTGTTCTTGATGGTGGCGTACTCCTTCTCCAGCCTGCTCGGGATGTGGGGACACGCTGGGACACGAGGATGGGGACCAAACCCCCTGGCCCCGTGCCCCACAGCTGATGGGGGGACCTGACCCAAGCGTAGGAACCCACCTCCCCATCTCACCTCTTCATCTTCTTGGGGTTGTACTTGACTTGGAAGGCCCTGAGGATGAGCTTATCGGGGCAGCTGTCGAACTGGTGTGGGATCACCTTCTGGAAGTACTGCAGGCACAGAAACCGGCCGTGAAACATGGCCCTGAAATACAGCCCATCGCGTAAACCGGCCCCAAAATCGGTCCCACTGGGTAAAACCAGTCCCACAACAGGGCCTGTTGGATCAATCTACCCCAAAACACGCTCTCGTTGCATAAATCCACCCAAAAATACAATTTATTGGACAAACCAGCCCCAAAATATGACCTGTTGTGTAAATCTAAAACACAGCCCGCTGCATAAATCCACCACGGAATATGACCTGTTGCATAAATTGGCCCCAAACACACCCAGTTGGGAGAAACCCTCCCCAAAATACTAAATTTGGGGATAAATCTGCCCCAGACTACATCCCCTTGGACAAGTCTGCCCAAAAATACATCCCCTTGGATGTGCTGTTGGACAAATCCACCCCAAAATACATCCTGCTTCCTAAATCCGCCCCAAAACACGTCCTGTTGGACAAATCCGCCCCAAAACACGTCCTGTTGGACAAATCCGCCCCAAAACACGTCCTGTTGGACAGATCCACCCCAAAAGCCACCAGCAGGTACCTGGGACATGCCCTCCATGTCGAGCTGGACGAGCTCAGCCTGGTTGAACTGCAGCAGTGCCATTCCCACACGGAAGACGATCTCCAGCCCCTGCGGGAAGGGTCCACGCTTGACCTCACGCTATCGCCTTTCTCACCTGGGGTTTGGGGTTTTTCTCTCCGAAACCAGACCAGCTGGCGTGGGCAGAACGTTTCCACATCCAAGTGGAAAACGTGGTTGCGGTCCCTTTGCGATTTATGGGGTAGGCCATGGCCCCGTTACCTCGTACATGAAGATGTCGAAGACACGCGTGGCCACGGGAAGAGGGAAGGTGGTGAGGAAGAGGGTGAGGAACCAGGACGAGGCGTACATGGAAGTGAGGAAGCTCTGCGAGCGGAAGTGGATGTTCAGCTCCGGAAGCTGCTCCTGGACGTGAAAAATGGGGGAAATTAAGTGAAACGGGGAATGGTGGATGTTTTTAGGGGTCATTCTGTGGCTGGCTGAGGTTTGAACAGGTCCATGAGGTCTTAAAGAGGTTGCTGAGGGGTCTCATGGAAAGGCCCTTGGTGGGGGGAGCTCATGTGTGGTCCCCAGGGTCTCATGGATGTCCCTCAGGGCATTTCGTGGATGGTCCCTGGGGTGTCTCACGGATGGTCCCTTTGGGTCTCTCACAGATGGCCCCAGGGTCTCATGGATGGTCCCTGGGGTGTCTCACGGATGGTCCCTTTGGGTCTCTCATAGATGACCCCAGGGTCTCATGGACGGTCCCTGGGGCATCTCGTGGAGGTGCCGTGGGGTCTCACGGATGGCCCCACGGTATCTTGTGGACATCCTTGGGGTCCCACAGATGTCCCCCTTGAGAAATCATGGATAGTCCTCAAGACATCTCACAGAGGGCCCCAGGATCTATGTTGCTGCACATGAGCTCCATCAGAGGAACCCAGTTCTCCCAAGAGCTGCCACCTCACTCCCACCTCTCCTGGGCCTTGACCCCTGGCTCTACCCACCGGTTCCCACTACCCCGAGTGTTTTGGGGGGCATGGGGTGGTGCCTACCTGCAGCATGTACTCAAACTGGTAGATGCAGAGCCCCAGCTCGGCCATGCTGGGTTTGAAGAGTTCCCGTAAGCGGTATTCCTGCATCAGCCTCACGAAGACGCAGAAAGCCTCTTCCTCGGGCATCTGGAGACCCAAACGGACATGAATTCCCCCTTCAACCCGTGCTGGCAGCTCCAGATGTGGAGCCTCTTTCTATCAGTGATGGGATGGGACGTGCCAGGAGCCGTCCCTTGACGAAGGGGGGATTTTAAACCCATTAGGAGTAGAGTGGGCTGGTGGGAATGAGCCAATTTTGCTCCTGAGGATGAAGAAAAAGGCTCCCATTTCCCAACCCCATTCTACCACATCTCCAGAGGGTGTTAAAAACACCCCATCAGCAGCTCCTCCTCGCCCCGGGGCCGTCACAAACCTGCATGAGCAGCAGGCCCACGATGAAGGCGCTACCCTGGCAGTATCCGACCTCCCGGTCCACCAGCGAATAGGCCTGGAAGGAGGAAAAAAATCCCAAAATAAATATATGTGTGAGCAGGGGGACCGGCTGGGCCACCATCCCTGTTTGCTGTGGGAGGGCAACAGTGGAGGGAAGCGTTGGCTGTGGCAAATAGCTATTTTTTTTCTGGTTGACAACACCTCCTGTGAGCACGACGTCGCTCTACACTTGGATTTCGACCCCAAAAGACTCAATCATCCATCTCTTCATTCAGAGGAAAACTCAATAGGAAAAATGAGGTCTGGGACGGATGTGAAGCGAGGTCCTTTTGTGCGAAAAGGGCTATCAGGCTCCAAAAAGCGATGGTTCCAGGAGTTTGTGGTGGAAACCAAACCCATCAATAATTAATGTGCAGTTAAAACAGCTTCAAAACCCAAAGCAGCATCTGGGCCGCGGCCAAGATCCGCCGGTGTTCGAGGAAAGACGTTACCTTCATGACGTTGAAGAGCACCTCCTGGCCCAGACTGTCCTGTCCCTTGAAGAACTCATGCTCCGGGTAGGTGCGGGCGATATCCCGTCGGATGAGCTTCTCGCAGGGAGAGGACATCTTCAGCAGCTCTGAGTATTGGTTTTTGACGGGCATGTCAGTGGCACTGCAGAGCAGCTGCCAGACGATGGCACGGAAGTGGTGGGGGATCCCTTTGCGGATGAGTTCCTGGGGAAAAACGGGGCAAAAACCGGAGAAAACAGGTTTCAAGAAGATGGGGAAGCTCCTTGGGGATGGGGAGACATCATCCTGCCCAGGCATGGGGAAGATCACGGTGCAGATTTTTGCAGCGGGGTTAAAATAGTCTGAAAAATAAAGGGGTTTCCTCACCTTTAGCAGCTTCTCCTTCTTCTTCCGCCACTCATCCCACTCGTTGACGATGCGGCCCCAGAGGATCCAGGTGTCCTCTTCGAGGTGGCTGAGGTTGGAGGAGGCCGAGGAGCTGGAGACCAAGGAGGAGCCGCTGTTCCTTCGCGAGCCGTTCATGGAGCGCATCGACTTGGAGTCAGCCTCCAGTAGCCTGCGGGAGACCGAGATAGCCCCAAAAAAGCTCCAAAGGAGGAAAGCGCCCCCAAAAGCATCCCAAAAGAGGAGATATTCCCCCAAAACAGCCTTCAAGGAGAAGAGATTCCCCCATAAATGTCACCAAAAAGTAGATATTCCCCCAAAAAAAACACAAAGGAGGAGAGATTCCCCCAAAACCATGCTAAAAGAAGAGAGATTCCCCCCCAAACCCCCCTGTGTCCCCCCAAAAAATCACCCCAAACAAAAAGATATTCCCCTAAAAACTGCCCCAAAGGAGATGAGAGCCCCCCAAAAAGGTCCCAAAAAGGGAGATATTCCCCCCAAAAAACCACAAAGGAGGAGAGATTCCCCCCAAACCACCCCAAACAAGCAGATCTTCCCTGAAAAACCACCCCAGAGGAGATATTCCCCTAAAATGCCCCAAAAGAGGAGAGATTCCTCCAAAACCCCTCCAAAAAAGGAGATATTCCCCCAAAACCACCCCCAGCGCTCACCGGTTTTGCTCCTCCAGCTTGGCCAGCAGCTCCCGCTACTCGGGGCTGATG